ATATCAACAAGGTAATGGTATTACAGAAATTTATTCATGTCATAATTCTTCACATCAACCTGTAGCTTTTTGTTTACAGAAAATTATAGACCTAATAATGACAGAAAGGACACCTCTTAAACAACTTGCTAATAAAGAGTCTGCAGAAATTATTGTAACATTATTTGGTCTATACTGATAATTGGTAAGTTGAATTAGCATGCTACTTGGGATCAAGTTATTCCCCTTTGAGATTGTTTATGAAGATACCCCATGGGTGTTACCTAAAATTACATCTAAATATCCTATAAAGATTATTTTTAATCTTTATACAGAGGGCATTTCAAAAGGACAAGGAGAATATATTTTACTCTTATCTACTACAGCATACTATATATATAACTTAGATTCAACTTTTCTTTAGAAAAACAGATCTATTACAACATACTGTACTTGTAACTTAAATTCAACTCTTGTTTAAAAAATAGACATGTTTTTAAATAACAACTATGTCTCTTGCCTTCATCTTGGATGATGACTTCATCTGGATAAAAGCAATCATGTGGCTGACAGCCATATTACTAAGGTTAAAGGGTGCATACCATTTATCTTCATCACCATCTTGATAAAGATGATCATGTGGTATAAACCAACTAAGACAGCACCTATATAACTTCTTACTCCTACCAAGCCCTCTGCTTACTATTGTATCTTCTTTCTAGATTAAAGAGGCAGCAGCAGGTTTTCAAAATATTTTGGATTAGGATGTATTTTTGTATGATGATCAGTTTCTAAAGTTACAAAAGTAAACTCAGGTTAACAAAAACAGAGTTAGAGATATATGTCTAACCACTTATATCTTTGCAACTGTGTTAAACACCAGGTCTCTAGAAAATTTTAAATAGGAAACAACATATGTTTGATAAATAAGGTGTGCTAGATAAATAAGGTCTATAAAGTCCTAATGTCTGTTCAGGCTAGCAGAAACTGACTTGAAGATATATGTCTAGTCTCTTTGTCTTTGTCACTGCATTTATGGTTTAAAGTTTTATTTTGATGCTAAGAGATCTTCAATTGAAAATTTTAAGGCTCAAACTAAACAGGGATAAAACTGTAAAATCCTAATCTTATAAAAGCTACTAACTTCTTATAAACTGCTAAAAATAAATAGGACACGCAAGCTAATAGTCACTTTATAAATTATCAAATTCTTTAATGTGTTCAGAATTATGCTTTTAGTCAGGCTAAGTAAGGCCTTCTATAAAATGCTGCCAAAGTTAAGCCTGAAGCAAGTAACTAAAAACAAAACTTATTTTAAATCAGGTATATGTAATAAAGACGCTCCTCAAACTCCCTGGAGAGCTGCTGAACATAGCATTTAAAATGTTTACTAAGAAGGCTTCTGATTATAAAAAGAAATGCCAAATCCTAGCAGCATTTTTCTGTCATTTTAATCGATACAGAAGCCATTTGGATTATACTTCCTGCTCCAATTTATCCTTTTCAGATCTCTGGGAATGTTGATGACTAACTACAATTTTAGTTAGCTGCTTTATCAGTTGAACAACAGCAAGTACCCAGTTCCTCCCCCTACAGCTGCAAGCTGCAGCTGCCTGGTCAGTCCATTTCATATGTAAAAATCAGACTCACAGTTTGTTTACCTTGCTGGCAGACTTCATACTGAAAGAGATAAACACACAAAACAGGGTTCAGTGTCAATCCTAATGAAAAATGACAGTAAAACCGAACTTCTGACACCTATGTCTATTGAGAACACAAACAGGAAGAGCCTGCCTAGGAGGAAAGCCAAAAACAGCTCTGTTATGAGTAGGAGGATGCCGCAAAGAGTTGATGCAATGATAGATGATTTCCTTGTTGATGCCTGGTCAAATTATGCATCCTTCCAATGATAGGCTTGCATTGCTAAAAATTTTATCTTATTCTTTACATCAAAAATGGAGATACTCTCCTTTCAGGCACTGAGAACACAAACACCACCCAGATCCCTTTGTATATTTGATTACTAAAACTTCATTTTTTAAAATTTGTATTTTGAAAAATTTGCATTATTGTACAAACACAACAAAAATTTAAAAATAACAGTGTAAATAGTCATGAGATGGATTTTTAAAAGTTAATAAATTTGAGTTAAGAAATTTTTTTTAAAAAATTCTTCTAGATAATATAATAGCCTAGGAATGCAAACATAATTTTGCTTCTCAAATTTCCTTGGTGGCCAAAGGAATTAAACAAAAATGCAATCAGTAGAAATTAGATAATTTTAAAGTTTTCACCTAAAACTATTTTTGATATAGCCTGGGGATCTGTTATATCAAACTGTCTATGAAATGTAGTATAAGAAACAGAGCCTTCCAACAAGTACTCCAAGCTTTTAGTACATAATTAGTAATGCATGGATATCAACTTGACATCTAAAACTGTGGATTTCTGTGTCTGGGGCCTTTTCTGCTGTTAGATATATAGATAGAGATCTGTGCTCGAAATTCACTCCAGGCATGTGCAATGGCTCTCCCTCACTAATCAGCTACAGAGCACAGCCACAGGCATAGCATGAGGTTCTGGGGTCTCCAAGAAAAACCATTGTGCTATATCTGAAACTGACTTTGTCATATAGTTCTTTATGCTTGCCCTTTCTAGGACCCATTGCAACTATAAAATGATAATGGTCCCACTTACATTAACAAATGGTTTAAAATTTTTATTATTATTCATGTTACTTAAACCCCTTATCCACAAGATCAAGTTATTTTGGAAAATTTTAATTTAAAAAAGGTAGGCACTACCTAAAGTATATGTCAGTCAATGAAAAGGCCCAATGTTCTAACCTTGAGATGAGGTTATGATTACATCTTTCCAGAAAATGAACAAAGACTCCATCTTGAGTAGCCCTGTTTGCAAGTTTTGTAACTCTGACTTAATGGGTGACATGACACTGAAGGAGCCTTGAGGCCATCATGAGCTTTGATTTGCTAATAAACATCATAGATAGGTATTTTTTTCCTTTTGCCAGAGAGAAGGGAGATAGTTCTTAGTAGAGGGGAACTAATTTCCTTTGTATTTAACATTCCAGCCTTGCCAAGCAGTAGTGGCACAGTGGTGGCCTTTAATTCCAGCACTCTGGGGGCAGAGGCAAGTAGATCTCCATGAATTTGAGGCCAGCCTGGTCTACAGAGTGAGTTCCAGGGCAGCCAGGGCTATACAGGGAAACCTTGTCTTGAAAAATTATCTAGAAACGAGGCAGTGGTGGCGTATGCCTTTAATCCCAGCACTTGGGAGGCAGAAGTAGGCAGATCTCTGAGTTCAAGGCCAGCCCAGTCTACAAGAGCTAGTTCCAGGACAACTAGGGCTGTTACACAGAGAAACTTTGTCTCAAAAAGCTAAAAAAAAAAAGAAAAGAAAAGAAAAAGAGAAAGAAAGAAAAAGAAAGGAAGAAAAGAAAGAGAAAGAAAGAAAGAAAGAAAGAATTTAGCCTTTTGTGGAGGATAAGAGGTGATATAATCACTTCTGTAACTGCTTCTCAGCTGAAATTGCATGTTGTTGCTGGGTCTTAGGAAGTCTGGAATGCTGATCAAAGGTGGGGATAGGCCAAAACAATCTTTTTCACTGCCCAAGTTCTGCTGAACCACTTGGTGCTAGTACAGGCAGCTTCAGAGTAGTCTGGAATATTGGCCCAAAGCACAGGCTCAAGTTGATAGAAAATTCTGTAAGAAGCATCTGGTTTACATGAGCCTTCAGCAAATTCTAGGTTCATGGCAGTTGTGGTGGCTTAAATGAAAATAGTGGCACTATTAGGAGGTGTGGCCTTGATGGAGTAGGTGTGGCCATGTTAAAGGAAGTATATCACAGGGGATTGGGCTTTGAGGTTTCAGGAGCCCAAGCCAGGCTCAGTGGCTCTCTTTCTTCCTGTTGTCCACTGATCTGCATGTAGAACTCTCAGCTCCTTCTCCAGCACCATGGCTGCCTGTATACTACCATGCTTCCTGTCCTCATGATAATGAACTAAAACTCTAAACTGTAAGCCAGTCCCAATTAATTCTTTTATTTTATAAGCATTTTATATGCATTACAACATGCAGGCAGACAAAGTGCTGGAAGAATAGCTGAAAGTCCTACATGGTACAAGCAATAGAAAGTTGACTGAGACATTGAGCAGTAAATATCCTGAGCATAGTAAACCTTAAAGCCCAGCCCCCAATGACTTACTTTCTTCAACAAGGCTACACCTACTCCATCAAGCCCAGCCCTCCTAATATTGCCACTCTCTATGGGCCTATTTAAATCAACACATTCTGGTGTGGGAAGTCCTTCTGTATATGTGTTGCTTTTATTGGTTAATAAACAAAGAAGCTGCTTGGGAGAGAGAAGAAAAAGAGTATAGAGAGTTATAAAAAGAAGTAAATAATTTTTTAAAAAATAAAAGTCTTTAAAGAGACAGAGTATAGACAGTCATAGATTAAAAGGAGTAAAGAAAAATAAGCCACATAAAGATGGAAAAATATACAGAGAGTCTGGATTATGTATATTATTGGGTTTTCTTTGAATTTTTTGACTGTGAAGGAGCTAAGCACAGAGAGACATTTCATTGTATGGACTGCTAAGCTAAACCAACCTATATATTTTAAAAGTATCTTGATTCCAAAATTTGTGTCTAAGGATTTGCTGCTTTGGAAAGGAGGTTCTGCTTTTATTTCCACAGAAGATGAGAACCTGTGAATTAATTCCAGACTAATGTGGTTTGATGGACCAAGATCCCCAGAAAGGTCACCGTGAACACACCCCAAAATATTTCGCCTAACAAAATCAGGAAACAGTTTGGAGATAACTATACTCAAATTCCCAAATATTGCTTATAAATGTTTGTTTACATTTAAAGGGGGATATGCTATAGAGCTGGATACTTTGCATTGGTATAGATCTTGGTTTATTAGTAAAAATTTTAGGTCAATTTTGTTATATGTATATTTCTACTCTTGATTAAGGTATTGTGTTTTTTTGCAGTTTTTGTGGTTTTATTTAAACACAAATAAAACATGCATGCAAACCATCTGCTCATTCTCTTCACTGCGTAGCCTGGCGTTGGGACTGGTGACTCTGATGGCCAGCTGTGCTGCTCTTTCTACGATGGCTTTTCAGTTCTTGGAGGAAACACTGTGAGCGATCTCAGCACAGTAAGATTTGTTGCACATCAGCAGCACCTCCAGCTCCTTGACATTGTGGACCAGAAACTTCCAGAAGCCACTAGGCAACATGTGCTTGGTTTTCTTGTTGCTCCTATAACCAATGTTGGGCATCAGGATCTGGCCCTTGAATCTTCTCCACACCCTGTTATCAATACCTCTGGGTTTCTGCCAGTTTTGCTTAATCTTGACATATCGATCTGACTGGTGCCGGATGAACTTCTTGGTCCTCTTTTTGATGATCTTGGGCTTCACCAGAGGTCGGAGGGCAGCCATGATGCCATAAAGGAGATGGCAGCCACCTGGCAGGTAGCACAAGGAAGAAGGAAGGGGCAAGGTATTGTGTTTTTACAACTCATTTAAAAGTATAATGTATAATCAAGAAATATAGGTTAATAGATAATCATCTATAATAGTCAAGCTTTTAGTCATGTTAGTTAGGTTTTCTAGGTATACAGAGATATATTTCAGATGGATAGGGATTCTTCAAATCTTTCAAAGACCTTCATAATATGGCATTTAAGATGTTTAAGAACTTAAGACTTGGGCTGGAGAGATGGCTCTGCATTTAAGAGCACTGACTGCTCTTCCAGAGGTCCTAAGTTCAATTCCCAGCAACCATGTGGTGGCTCACAACCACCTATAATGAGATCTGATGCCCTCTTCTGGCCTACAGGCAGGATACTGTATAAATAAATAAATCTTTAAAAGAAAAAAAGAACTTAGGACTTTTCATGACAATGAGACACATCTCCTGGTAGCACCAATTATTTCAAGAGGATGATGGGCACCAAAGGATTTCTTATGGGTTTGCTAGCCATTTGGGGGAAGAAACTGCTCTTTCCTGAACTGTTTGATGTCATTCTGTATAAACTGGACATGCAGAAGTTTATACTGAAGTTGCTTAAAGAAGGTGAGACAGTATTTTGGGGTTCCTGCCTCATGAAAGAGTCTGCTAAACATTCTGCAAGACATAGAAGAAAGCTACTGCTGTGGTAAAATATACCACATGGTAAAAGAGGTCACAAGTCTCGTGGTAAAATACAAAATAATGGAAATGGGTTAATTCTAGATATAAGAGTTATCTAGAAATATGCATAAGCTAATAGGCCAAACATTGATGTAATTAATACAGTTTCTATGTGGTTATTTTGGGGCTGAGCAGGCCTGAACAAACAGGTGGCCTCCTACTACAACATTCCACTCCCTGGTTCCCAAAAGTAGTAGTGGTGACTTGACAAATGTAGCTGCAGCACAGGCTCCCTGGTGCCTGTCATTGAAGCATCCAAAGACTTGACTGACTGGGGACTCAAGCGAGCAGGGCTATGCTGCATTCACTTCTTTGAGTGCAGGAGCAGACTGAAAACTGCAGTACTTGCCAGAGGCCTCAGCCTGCAGCTGTTGCCAGGCCCTGTGGCCTGCGCTCCTTTTGCTCATTCTTTCACTCAGTAGTGGCAGTGGCAGCTGCGCCACCAGTGTGTGGGATGGAGTGGAATATTTACAAAATTTACAAACTCTAAAATTCTCTGCATTTATTTCTGCTCCACCCCAGCTCCTTTGGCTATCAAAATACACCCAAGCAAATGAACAGAGTTCTCTAGTGTTTCCTTGTGCCATATCTACAATTTTATATACAATTCTTACTCCCCGAATATCCACTACACCTTTACTTCACTTTTACCCCCGAGCGCTCATTTTTCACTTTATATCTGTGGTGTCCATCATGTTCTCCACCTGTACCACTGGCTCCACATTGGGCACCATTTGCTGTATCCCACGTACGGGCAACAACATTAACTGCATCTTACTCAGTTTATTCCTTCATGCTTGGAGGGAACCGTGAGGATTAAGAAATGGCAGGTAGAAAAATAAAGACACAAAAGAAAAGACAAAGACACAGGATAGAGTCAAGAGCACAACCCAGTAAATACTCAGTCTGCCCGTGTTTATTTTTCATGAGTTTTAAATACCCCAACCCAAAGAGAATGGGGGAAGACAAAAGACATCTTTGCCAAGACACAAGGAACAAAGTAATCGCCTTCTCAAATTCCCAAAGCATCAAGTAACCATACCCTAGGTCAAAACATCCTGTCAGTAGCCACACTCTGGGTCAAACCTTTTGTCAATAGCCTTGAGGGAGCAAGAATAGGCCTCAACTCTCTGACCTTTGGTCAAAGTGGAATGAATCCACATCTGTGGGCTTTGACAGGCAGAATTTTATTTCTTATGCTTTTTTTTTTTTTGGTTTTTCAAGACATGGTTTCTCTGTGTAACATCCACATTAATGTCTTAATGTCTTTAAAGGCTTTCCTGGAACATTAGAAAAGACTGGCCAAAAATTCACAGATCTGTCAGCCTCTGCCTTCTGCTGGGATTAAAGACATGCATCACCACACCCAGATCTAAGATTTTCCTTTAATTCCTTTTCACAAATTGGAAGCTTAGCTGGCTGAAATCTTGCTCTGAGGTCACCACCTTCTATTCCATTTCTTTTTTCTTTTTTGGTTTTTCAAGACAGGGTTTCTCTGTGTAGCTTTGGAGCCTGTTTTGGAACTTACTCTGTAGATGAGGCTAGCCTTGAACTCACAAATATCCACCTGCCTCTGCCTCCTGAGTGTTGGGATTAAAGGTATGTACCACCACCACCCAGCTCTTTATTTCATTTCTTAATTTTTTCATCTTCTTGAACATAGGATTTAGCTCCATTCTGCTCCTTGGTGATCCTTTTCACCTCAAATTTTACATTTCCTTGCTCAGATTGTTCTTTTTCATTAAAAATGTTTTTTAGAGTTACCACACAACAGCATCTTTACTAGGCTGTTTCCAAGATTTCCTCGGCCAATGGAATTAATCCAAAACTTCACTTTAGCCTCGGGCAGTCTTTTCAGACAAGGGCAAAAGTCAACCACATTCTTCAAAATATCACAAGAACAGTCTTTTGCTGAGCTGTTTTGGTTTGCTCTCCATTGCCTTGTTATAGGATCAGATGGCCTTCTGACTTAGAACAGAGATTTTAGAGACATTTTTAAACACGGATGCTTGTGGGAGAAGGAGCTCCATAACCCAACCCCAGCATCAGCTTTTTTAATAAAGTAGGACAGCGTGAAGCAATACTTTAATATCCATACCCAAAAGACATCTGAATCCTTTAAAAACATGAATCCAGTGACCAGGGAGAGGTACCAGAACAATCAGAAAACAAAGAAGGTTTAGAGGTATGAAATTCAGAGCCTAGGCCAGTGGCATAGCGCCTGGTAGGTGGCAGAGCATGGGGTTTAAGGTACCCATGAGGGGGCTGCTTGCTGCCTGGAGCACCCACATTGCCACAGCCACAACAAGAGCTCCATAATCAGAGAAAGAAGCCAGCTAGAAGATAGAACAAGCAGAAAAAAAGAAATCCTTCAGAAGCAAAGCATGGGTAGAGGAGTGTCTGATGTACCTACAGGACTTAAGCAGAAGGCTCCAGTGAGCAGGATGCTCCAGGGGAAGACAATGGGAGACTAGTTCACGATAGGTAGAGACATAGTACACTGAAGGAGGAAACTCAGAGATGGATTAGCTATGGAGTAGCTGTGCTTGCTCACTTGGTCCAGCTCCCATATCTGCAGCAAAACTTATGGGCACACCAGAAAACACAAGTCCACTAGACACAAGCAAACAACATAAAAAGATGGAAGATTTACACAGTCACAGGAGATCAGACAAACACAGACATTTGTTGATCACCTTCACTCATACACCAAAACCAGGACAGAATGACATCACTTTTGCCCTGAGACAGCTTCTATGATCATGTCTAATTTCCCATATGTCTCTCCAATAGCTGGACTCCAAAACAGAACAGAAAAACATACCTATTGTTCTGAATCTCAGATGCGCATTGGCCAACAGTTCTTATTTTCATTTTGTTTTCTGTTGTCTGAGGTTTTCTGTCCTGCCTGGTTCCTACAGCCAGTAAGTCCCAAAGAAATCACATAGAGGTCTACATTAGTTATAAACTGATTGATCCATTAGCTCAGGCTTCCTATTAACTCTTATAACGTATATTAGACCATATTTATTATCTGTGTTAGCCACATGGCTCAGTACTTTTTCAGCAAGGCAGTCACATCTTGTTTCTTCTGTGGCAGGCTCACAACTGCAGAGGAATGGGCTTCCTTCTTCCCAGAATTCTCTTGTTTTCATTGATCTGCCTTTATCTCCTCTCTGGTTGTCCCACCTATACTTCCTGCCTGGCTACTGGCCAATCAGCATTTATTTAAAATATAATTGACAGAATACAGAACGTGGTCCCACACCAGTTTTCAATTTGCAAATTTGTGGTTGTCACGGACTGAGTTCCCACCTGGAACCTTTCAAGTTCACCATGGATTTGCTTCTACTTGGGGGCCCATCCCTGACTAATGACCATTAATTTGTGACAGTTGTGATCTTGGACTTCCTGGACTTCTAAGTCTCCCAGGTCCTATCCTAGTCTCCAACGTCCCAAGCTTCCAAATCCTGAGCCTATCTTGGATCCCTGGCCTTGACTCTGGGGTCTCCTATGGTATTAATTCCATAAAGCAGGAGTAAAGACCATTATTCAAATTAAGATCAATTAAACAAGCTTTATTGTTACTATGTACAGGTCTGCCTTCTAAAGCAGGATTTGAGAGAACAGTGTTGGCTTAACTTTTTAGGCCTCTTTTTATAGGAAAAAGGGACATACTGGGACTTTCCAGAGGAATTTGGTAACATAAGGACTTGGCAAGTGACTAACAGAAGCAGAGAACAGGTAAGACCATTTGACAGAACATTTTGGCAGAACATGTCAAGATTCCTTGGCAGAACATATTATCAGGGTATGGTCAGGTTATGAGTCAAATTCCATAGGGTGTGGATCATGTCAAATTCCAGGAATAGGTTAAAGTTTGGTCAAACTTCAGCTTTACAGTCAATAGAAATGGACTTATTTTGACCTTGTAACAAGATGGCTTCCAATCTTAAAATGGAGTCAGGTTGGTCCATTATTCCTCCCTTATCTTATGTGCCCCTTTCAAATCCTTGATACGGAATGGTTATTTCTGTCTGATGTATGGTCTGATAATGCCAACAGAGGGTATTTTAGCACTTTCTTTTCTTCCCCCACCCCAAGCCAGGGTTTCTCTGTGTAGTCCTGGCTGTTCTGGAACTCACTCTGTAGACTAGACTGGCCTTGAGCTAACGAGATCCTCCTGGTTCTACTTCCTGAGTGTTGGAATTAAAGGTGTACATCACTATGCCCTACTTATTTTCACATTTCCCATCTGGTAGAAGACAAAATTTACAACATATCAGAAAATACATGATCTGGTAGTGAGTACCATCAGCAGGAATATTAGGGGGCCTACAGCAGCTG